AACATACTTCTCCTTCAGCCTCCTAATCTCTGCCTCTTTTTGAAGCCTATCTTTCCTCTCCCTCTCTGCTTTCTCAGCAGCTTGATCAGCGTCTTCATCCTGCACAGATGGAGACAGGATTTTGTTAGGCTGCTGCTGTCCAGTGAAACTAAAATCCAACATGTACAGTCTAAAACAGCAGTCGTGTGTGAAATGTTCCCCCTACCGTACCTTGAGAAACATGTCAAAGCCGGAGTATAACTCCTCCACTTCCTTAATCTTCTCGTGCAGCTCATCTGTGCGTTGTTTCAAACTCTCCAACACCTACATAAGAACAAACATAGCAGGCAAAAGTTACATAAGCTGCTTTAGAATATTCATGAAGCATGGACAGAAATCTGGTCTAGTGAAGATGATTTTTGCCAAAAAGTTATCAACTTCACTGTTGTTGGACTCTACATTCAGAGAAAAGACCATACCTTCTGTATGAAACCAAGATTAATATGGAAATCTGTGTCCAAATGTTACTTGAATGAGTTCAGACAGACGCAACCTCCTTTTTGCAGAAGGAACATAAAGGAGAAACATCAGGTGTAAAATTCTGATTACATTATTTGCATAGTATCTGTGTACAACTTTAATGTCAATTTCTTTAACTTTATTGGGGAGAAATACATCTACTAGACTCAGTCCAAACATTCATCACTTTCCAACAATGAAAGGAGTTGGGACACTGACTTTGAATAACAGTAAGAATACTAAAGTTTGCCAAGTAGAGATGCTGGGATCAACTATCTTTCTCGGCTCTGATTGTGTTGGTTTTGTTTAGGCCATGGTGGATTCTTACAAATGCCATTAGGGGGACTAGGAGGCTGATTTTTTCACAGATTATCCATTTCATATAGTAGTGTCAGGATATTGTGAGTTTCAAAAAATGTGACTATTATTTTTTATAAAAGTGACCTACTGCAGCTTTAAGTATAACCTATTTGCATAAGTCAAAACATTGGCACAAATTGGCTAAATTATAAAACCAGAGGTGTTACTAAATGAAAAGATGTAAGAGTATTGTTGAGCTGAGCCAAATGATCAGTCTCACTAAAAATAAAAACCCAGATCCAGTCATCATATATTATAAGTTTGGCTATTATCTGACCTGTTCGCGCTCCTCCTTCTCCGCGTTAAACTCTTGCTCCTCCCGGCGTTTCTGCCGTAGATCAAACAGGGCTGCGGTCCTGTCACGTAAAACTCCTGTCATGGCACCGGCCGCCCCCGCAGGCCAACTCCTGCTCACACACAAGCATTGCAGCAAAGTTATTAACATTGATCGTTCGCATTGATCCTGGCAGACACACTAGAAGCGCTCCACATGAACTCACTGTGCGTCCTGCTCCTCACGGTCGCTCCTGGAGTCCATGGCTCTGACTTTCACAGTTAACATATACACAATCTTCCTCTCCTACTATGGTTTTAAGTTAACCTAAGTTTTCAGAGTTTCTAGGACCTCCACTTCCTCCCCTCTCGTTTCTATGGTAACCCAACCAGAAACTTTTAAAGGCACAATCCGGCATTTCAAGCTAAGAAGCCCCCCACCGGTCGCTACTGCGCATGTGCCACTCTCAACAGCAATGAGAATAAACAATGTTCCTTTATTGTTCCCCCTCTGTAGGAGACATTTAAATCAGTCACAGCAGCACAGGGGAATGTAGTGCAAAACGTACAGAAGTGTAAAAGTACAATAAAGAATCACAAAATAATAATATTATAAAATATTATAGAAAATATAAGACTATAATGACAAATATATACACTGTATGCAATAATATGGTGTGCAAAATATCTTTAGCAGCGTATAACTAAAAAAAACAAACAGTACATGTGCAATTTAAAGATAATAGTTTGTGCAAATAGTTAGTGCGTCGTAGGTTGAAAGTTAAACCAGTCTTAGTCAGCGGGGGTTGGAGGTACT